TGATTATTTTAGTCGCCCTGCTCTGGACACATTCCAGCTCGTCAACATCTCCCTTAAATTGCGGTGCCCAGAATTGGAGACAGTATTCCAGGTGTGATCTGACCAAGGCAGAATAGAGGGGTAGCATGACTTCCCTGGATCTAGACACTAGACTCCTATTTACAGGCTAAAATCCCATTGGCTTTTTTAGCTGCCACATCACATGGTTTAACTTGTTGTCCACAAGGACCCCAAGATCTTTTTCACATGTACTGCTGTCGAGCCAGGTATAAAGAAAGTTAAGCATGGCTCATGGTCTTAGAAAAAGCATTACATCTTTGTTTATTCTTAAATATATCAACATTATACTGTTATAACTATGCTGTTGGATAATGCATGTCACAGCTATCAGTGGGAAGGTTTTTATTATTCTGCATGACACTTTTAATTAGCAGTCTATTCCACAGTCATTACAGCATTCATTCTCATAAACATCCTACAAAACAAAGTAACAGTCTATTTCACAGACAGGAAACTGAGGCAGCCCATAATGAAACCTCTCTCAGGTAGAACTTGAAGGACATGAACACATATGAAACACCTTTGAGCCCTCCTCATTCGCTCCCCCACGGTGTGGGAGTATTTAGTCTGGGACAGAAGGCAGGAGAGACATTCTTAAGGAACCAGATGTGGATTCTTACAAAAAAAACAACAGATTTATGTAGATGTGTAAGAAGCACAGGCTTCAGGGAACTCTAAACCAGACTGAAATGTGATCTACTTACTGGCTAGCATACACAGACTTTAACCACTGGTATTTTCCAGAGTCTACTCCACATATCCATTGAGTATCCATTATATGAAGTTCCAAAATGCAAAGTAATGCTCCAATATCCAAAACTGTCCACATGTATGGCTGAGATAGGGCCACTTTGGTTTTGTGGTGGTTCAGGGTACACAAACTTTGTTTCTTTGAAACATAGTGTATGAAATCACCTTTGTGTATAATGTGTTTTGTGCTTAAGACTGGTCCCACTACAGGTGTACCAAAATCTGGGGGAAAACATTTATATGGGTTATCAGAGCATTTCAGATGAGGGACACCCAACCTGTACTGTCATACTCCCTTATGTACTATGTTTGCAATTATCTTCAGGCTATATGTTTAAGGCATGTATGAAAAGATGAAATTTGTGTTTATATATAAGGCATATATAAAAATATGAATTCTGTGTTTAGATTTGTGTCTCATTTCCAAGAGATATCATTATGTATATTCAACTACAGTAAAACTCTTGGGCTGGATATACACTGCCATATAATCCAGATTATCAAAGCAGATAATCCAGATTATCTGATTTGAACTGGATTATATGAATCTACACTGCCACAGAATCCAGTTAAAAGCAGATAATCGGGATTTTATATGGCAGTATAGATAGGGCCTCAGTTAGGCCTATTGTTAAAAGTAACTCTCAAGCAATCATCTACATTTATCCAGCATCTACCAATTCCCATGTGAGAGTCTCCAGTATTGCAAAATCTGGAATAAGGAACACTTCTGATCCCAAGCATTTCAGCTATTCAACCTATATTGCATCCATAAGAAAAAGTATCTATCAGTGGTGAGAACATTAATCCATTAGGGCTCAAAATGAATCAAGGCTGTAGCTATGCAAAAACTGCCTCCCTTCCACAGGCTTTTGAAGCACAGACACAAAAAAAGGGATCAGTGAGCAAGAATCCTTTGGCCTCATGGTGACATCCTTGCCAACTTTTTCCTTAAGTGCCTGGCACTGACTAAAGCCGGAGGAGGAGGAGGAGGAGGAGGAGAGGGAGGAGCAACTATGACCTGAGAGTTAGAAGCAAGGAAGGAGGAGAGAAAGGAAGGAGAGGGTAAGTCAATGTTCAACACTGTTGCCTCTTCTGCAGATGTGTTTGGGAAACATTGTTGAACTGCAGGGACTTAAGGCCAGGAGACAGATTGACAGATAGATAGACGACTAGTTGAGAGAGATACCATAGGTAGATGATAGAGAGATAGATTGATAGATAGATAAAAGAGGTGATAGGGAGATTATAGATAAAATAAGATTAATAGATAGATGAATATATTATAGACAGATTGATAGATGAATATATGATAGATGTCATAGATTGATAGATGAATATATGATAGACAGATAGAGATACCATAGATCAATTGATAGACAAATATATTTCATAGATTCATAGATGAATATATGATAGATGGATTGATTGATAGGTGAATATATGATAGAGAGATTAATAGACAGATAAATAAATACTGTAGATAGATGAAAATATGATAGTGATTGATAAATGATAGATACCATAAATAGATGAATATATGATAGATTGATAGACAGATTGATAGACAGATGCCGTAGATAGATAGATGAATATATGATAGATAGATACCATAATAGATTACCAATAAATAGAAAGATGAATAGATAGATTGGTAGATAGATGAATATATGATAGATAGATAAATACCGTAGATAGATAGATAGATGAAAATGTGATAGATTGATAGATATGTGCTTATAATATAATATATTGTATATACATATAACATTGACAATATTATAATGTAATACAATATACTACTACTAATAAAGTGAAATTATATGTATATATTTTATATTAAATGTAATATTACTAATAATACTACAGTATAATGTTATAGTATAATGTAATATTAATACTGTGCTATGATAATAATATAATATATTGTATTACCTTTTTACTTGTAAACCGCTCTGAGTCCCCTTTGGGCGGCATATAAATGCCATAAATAAATAAATAAATGATAGACAGAAAGATACCATAGATAGATAAATAAATAAATAGATGAATATATGATAGATTGATTGAGGAATATATGATAGATTGATAGACAGATGCCGTAGATATAGATAGATGAATATATGATTGATTGATTGATTGATTGATAGACAGATTGATAGATACTGGAGATAGATAAATAGATAAATAGATATATGATCGATACTGTACATAGATGATCAGTAAATAGACAGATGAACAGATAGATTGGTAGATAAATGAATATATGATAGATAGATACCATAGACAGATTATTATATGATAGATAGATACCGAAGATAGATGGATATATGATAGATACCGTAGACAGATCAATGAATATATAAGTTACCACAGACAGACTGATAGATTGATGAAGATATGATAGATCAGGGGTCCTCAAACTAAGGCCCGGGGGCCAGATACGGCCCTCCAAGGTTATCTACCCGGCCCTCACTCAGGATCAACCTAAGACTGAAATGACTTGAAAGCACACAACAACAATTCTATCTCAACAACCAAAAGCAGGCCCACACTTCCAACTGAAATACTAATAAGTTTATATTTGTTAAAATTGTTCTTCATTTTAATTATTGTATTGTTTTAAAGTGTTTTTTTTTCACTACAAATAAGATATGTGCAGTGTGCATAGGAATTCATTCATGTTTTTTTTTTCCAAATTATAATCTTGCCCTCCAACAGTTTGAGGAACTGTGACCTGGCTCTCTGTTGAAAATGTTTGAGGACCCCTGCTGTAGATAGATAGATAGATAGATAGATAGATAGATAGATAGATAGATGAATATATGATAGATTGATTGACTGATAAGATTGATAGATACCACAGATAGATAGATGAATATATGATAGACCAGTGGCTCTCAGCCAGGGGTCCCCAGATGTTTTTGACCTACAATTCCCAGAAATCCCAGCCAGTTTAGCAGCTGTTAGGATTTCTGGGAGTTGAAGGCCAAAAACATCTGGGGACCCTAGGTTGAGAACCACTGCGATAGACAGATTGATTGATTGATTGATTGACTGATCCTGTAGATAGAAAGATGAATATATGAGAGATACTGTAGGTAGATAGATAGATGAATATATGATAGATACCATAGATAGAAGATCAATAAATAGACAGATGAGTAGATTGGTAGATAGATGAATATACTATATGATGATACCGTTGATAGATAGATGATTATATGATAGATAGATACCGTAGATAGATTATCAATAAATAGACAGATGTATAGATAGGTTGATACATAGATAGTTGACAGATAGATAAGAGAGATAGCAATCCTTCCAGGATTGACAAAGTTAAGACTATTATTATTACAGAGTATAATTACAGAGCCCCCATCTACACTGACCATTTAATGCACCATTTCAAGGAATTGTGGGAGCTGAAGTCCAAAACACCACGAGGGCCCAAGTTTACCCATGCCTGCATTAAGGGTTTGCTTTGGTGGGAGTTTGGTGCCTGGCTGCCGCAGTTTGAGGCTGGCTCGAGTCAGGACCAGCAATGGGGAATGAATGCGGTTTGATATCACTTTATGAACTGCCTTGCCTCAATGCTGAGTATGGAATCCTGGGAGTTGGTCGTTTGACAAGCTCTGGAGCCTTCGGAGAGGCCGAGACGGTCAAGATCCCCTCAGCCTTGAGCCGGGGAAGGTTCAAGCGGTGTCGAAGCGCGCTAACATTCCACAGCCTGGCGAGAGAGAAGCCACGGAAGGACGCGGATGGAACGCTGAGGCCGAAAGGAGCCCACCAATGGCAGCCCCCCTCCGCCGCTCCCGCCTCTCCTATTGGTCCAAATGTAATGAGGAAGGGGGGAAGGAAAGAAACCCCCCTCCTTTCAATCACAACTTGCCAAAAAAGAGTCGCCTCAGAAAGTCTTAGCACTAAAGTTGAATTGGTTCCAGAAAAAGGGGGGGGGGTTAAAAAAAAAGGGGGGGGTTGAGTTCCATTTAACCCCTTTGAACCCCTTTGTTTTCTTCTATTTCTTTCCCTTGGCTTCCCAATGCCAAAGTTCAGCCCCGTCGCAGTGCAGAAGAAAACCAGCCCTCAAAAGAGAAGAGGACAAAAGGGCAACAGGAACATTCCTTTCCTGGCTTTTCTTAACTTTCCCTTTCAATAATAGATAGATAATATAGATATATACATACCTGCAAGAACGTCTCTTTCGAGCTCTGCAGTGTATACGATATAGACCGGCTTCTTCTCCTCCTCGCCAGCGTTTCTTTAACCTTTCTTTCTAATGCGCTTCTTCTCCAGCAGCTGCTGCAGGACAATTCCACTCTATGGAGAGAGAGAGGGAGAGGGCGCGCGCGCGCGACCAACCAACCAACCAACCAACCAACCGTGCGCTCGCGCCCGCGTCTGTCGAAGTGATTTTTTTTTTACTCTTTCGCCCTGTTCGGTGCCCACTGCGCATGCTCAGGACCGGCCGGGACCAGCCAAGAGGCACCTTCCTTGGTTCTTCTTTCTTTTTTTTTTCAAAGCCTCGAGGGAACTGCAGCACCTGCCTTCCTTAGTGACGTCACGGCATTCTTTAATACCTGGTGCGGGCGGGGCAACTAGAAAAGGAGGAGGGGGAGGAGGGATCAAATTGGCGGGATTTTCTTTACCTCCTCTTGACAAGAAAAGACAGCATTGCTCCTCTGCAGGGATTGCAGCAATATTGGTTTTTTTTCTCAAGTAGCTGTACCCGCCACGCATTGCTGTGGCCAACTTTCCCCCTTTCTCTCCTTTCTTTCTTTCTCTCCTTCCTTCCTTCCTTCCCTCCCTCTTCTCTCCTTTTTCTTTTCCTTCTTTCCCTTCTTTCTTCCTTCTCTACCTGTTTTTTTCCTCCCTTCCTTTGCTCTTGGGTTCCAACCTTCTTTCTCTCTTTCCTTCCTTCTCTCCTTCCTTCCCTCTCTTTCCTTCCTTCTTTCACTTTTTATTTCTTTCTCTCCCTCCTTCTCTCCTTCCTTCCTTCCCTCTTTCTTTTGTTCCTTCTCTCCTTCCTTCCCTCTCTCTTTCCTTCCTTCTTTCATGTTTTATTTCCTTCTCTCCTTCCCTCCTTCTTCCCTTTTTCTCCCTCCTTCTCTCCTTCCTACCTTCCTTCCCTCTTTCTCTCCTTCCTTCTCCCTTTCCCTCCATCTCTCTTTCCTTCTTTCACTTTTTTATTTCCTTCTCTCATTCCCTCCTTCTTTCCCTCTTTTTCTCCCTCCTTCTCTCCTCCCTACCTTCCTTCCCTCTTTCTCTCCTTCCTTCTCCCTTTCCCTTCTTTCCTTCTTTCACTTTTTTATTTCCTTCTCTCTTCCCTCCTTCTTTCCCTCTTTTTCTCCTCTCCTTCTCTCTCCTCCTTCCTTCCCTCTTTCTCTCCTTCCTTCTCCCTTTCCCTCTCTCTCTTTCCTTCCTTCTTTCACTTTTTTATTTCCTTCTCTCCTTCCCTCCTTCTTTCTCTCCTCTTTCTTCCTTCCTTCCTTCCTTCCTTCCTCTTCTTCCTTCCTTCTCTCTTTTCCTCTTTCCTTTTTTTCCTTCTCTCCTTCCTTCCTTCTTTACCTTTCTTTCTTTCCTTCCTCCTTCCTTTCTCCTCTCTTTCTCTCTCCTTCCTTCTCTCTCTCTTTCCTCCCTTCTTTCACTTTTTATTTCCTTCTCTCCTTCCTTCCTTCTTTACCTTTCTTTCCCTCCTTCCCTCCTTCTTTCTCACCCTCTTTCTCTCCTTCCTTCCTTCTCTCTTTCCCTCCCTCTCTCTTTCCTTCCTTCTTTCACTTTTTATTTCCTTTTCTCCTTCCTTCCTTCTTTACCTTTCTTTCTTTCTTTCCCTCTCTCCTTCCATCCTTCTTTCCCTCTTTCTCTTCCTCCTTCCTTCGTTCCACCTTTCTGTGTATATATGTTTTGTGTGTGTATATGCATATATGTGTGTGTATATTTGTGTATGTGTGTATATATGTGTGTTTGTGTATATATGTAGTTTTGTGCATGTGTTGTAATGTATTTTTGTTTGGTTGTTGTTGTTTTTTTGCTCTTTAAGCCCCTTCTGCTGTGTTTTTCAGTGTTTTTATGAGTGATGGTCACTCTTTGGCCTGATAGGTGTATTGTGTCCAAATTTGGTGTCAATTTGCCCAGTGGTTTTTGAGTTATGTTAATCCCACAAATGAATATTACATTTTTATTTATATAGATTTGCATTTTGGTCAGTGGGAGGAAACAAGCCTCCTGAATGACAGAAAGCCTTTGTTTGAAATCTTGGAAGCTGGCCTACGCTAAGTTTTCCCCATGAGGAAAATGTTCTCAATTGTATTTCCTCTCCTAGCTGGGCTTTTAATGTTTTTACCAGCTGTCGAAACTTTTTTTCCCTCCCCTATGTAGTTTCATTTCTGTGTCTAGAAAAGCCTGAGTGCATCTACACTGCAGAAGGAATGCAGTTTGACACTGCTTTAAGTGACAGAGCTCAATGCTATGGAATCCTGGGAGGTTCATAGAATTATAGAGTTGGAAGAGATCTGATGGGTCATCCAGTCCAACCCCTTGCCAAGAAGCAGGAAAATCACATTCAAAGCACCCCCGATAGATGGCCATCCAGCCTCTGTTTAAAAGCCTCCAAAGAAGGAGCATCCACCACACTTCGGGGCAGAGAGTTCCACTTTTGAACAGCCCTCACACTCAGGAAGTTCTTCCTAATGTTCAGGTGGAATAATAGAATCATAGAGTTCGAAGAGACCTCGTGGGCCATCCAGTCCAACCCCCTGCCAAAAAGCAGGAAAATTGCATTCAAAGCAGTCCCAACAGATGGCCATCCAGCATCTGCTTAAAAGCCTCCAAAGAAGGAGCCTCCACCACACTCTGGGTCAAAGAGTTCCACTGCTGAACAGCTCTCACAGTTAGGAAGTTCTTCCTCACAGGAAGTTCAGTTGGAACCTCCTTTCCTGTAGTTTGAAGCCATTGTTCCTCATCCTAGTCTCTAGGGCAGCAGAAAACAAATTCGCTCCTTCCTCCCTATGACTTCCTCTCACATACTTCTGCATGGCTGTCATGCCTTCTCTCAGCCTTCTCTTCTGCAGGCTAAACATGCCCAGCTCTTTAAGCCACTCCTCATAGGGCTTGCTCTCCAGACCCTTGATCATTTTAGTCACCCTCCTCTGGACACATTCCAGCTTGTCAACATCTCCCTTAAAGTGCGGTGCCCAGAATTGGACACAGTATTCCAGGTGTGGTCTGACCAAAGGTTCCTTCTATACTGCCATATAAGGGCTCTTCCACACAGCCATGTAACCCAAGGCAGATAATCCACAATATCTGCTGTGAATGTGTTATCTGAGTCCACACTGCCATATAATCCAGTTCAGTGTGGCTTTTATACAGCTGTGAGGAAGGGGCCTAAAATCTGCTTTGAACTGGATTATATGGCAGTGTAGAAAGGGGTGGAGTTGTAGTTTCGCAAAATCTTTGGCCTTCTCTGCCAAAGAGTGGTGTTGCCTCACTGTAGTCATGTGTGTTAACATACAACAAACAAAGTAAATAGCTGCCTCTAGACCACGCATGGGCAAACTTTGGCCCTCCAGGTATTTTGGACTTCCAATTCCCACAACTCCTAACAGCCTCAGCAGACTGAAAGCCAAAACCAAGGTCAAAACACCGTCTGTTACAGAACTCCAATATGCTGATGATAACATAAGCTGTGCTCATTCAGAAGACCTACAAGTCACTCTAAACACCTTTGGAGAAGCATATGAAAAGCTTGGCCTTTCACTAAATAATGAGAAAACCAAAGTCCCTTTTCAGCAGGCACTAGCTTGATGTTGACCATTTCCGCTAACTTGGATGCCACCTCTCCACAAAAGTCAACATTGACACATGTATAATCTACTAACAAAAGAAATTAACTTTAAGATATGTTGATAGCTGAGTGTCATTAGAAATTAGTTAATAAATAAATAAGGAGAAGGAATATAAAAGAAATGTGGATCCTGAAGGATAATCTGTCACTCTTGTTAGAGAAGGTGTCATAGTTGGAACTTTTTTCTTTTACGTCACTTTCTCCCTATACTAAAGAACATGCATAAAGATACACCCTCCTACTCTGTTTCTCCGAAGATACAATAGACTAACGTGTAAAACTATTTAACAAACATGGCTCCGTAACTTACAGATTATATTCTGGGATGTTGACCATGTTTCCTTTCCTCTTTTTGAGTTTTCCCCCTCTTTAAAAAAAATAAAATAAACAAAATTTTAAAAAAAACTTTTTGCAACAGAAAAAAGAGAAAAGGTGAAAGCAAATAACCCTGTCTTAATAGGTAATCTAAAGTGTTGAAAAAGTGCCAATCTATAAGCTTTACAAAAAAAATGGAAATCATTAGAAAGGTGGAGGCAGAAGGAAGGAAAGAAGGAAATCTTGGGATGTATTTTGGGGAACTTCCAACGCCTCTTCTACACTTCCCTATATCCCATGATCTGATCACTTGGATTATATGAGTCTCCACTGCCAGATAATCAGGGATAAACAGATAATCTGGGATCATCTCCTAGGATTTAAGGGAAATGTGGAAGGGGTCCTAGTGTATTCTCTTGCAAGGCTTACTTGACTTGGTTGTTTAATTTCATACACAGAATATTCGTTTTGAATAAAAATGTTGCTGAAACATACTGAACTCTTCTTTTTTGTGTAGATCTTATATTTCTGGTACCAAAGTTTCTGCCCTCTTCAAGTGTGTTTCTGAAAAAGGTAAGTCATAGGATTCTACATAGTGTAGAATTAGGGCGGTTTGACACCACTTTGACTGCCATGACTCAATGCCGTGAAACCATTGAAGTTGTAGTTTTGCAAGGTTTTTAGACTTTTCTGCCAAAGACTGCTCATCAAACTAAAACTCCTAGGATTCCATAGTATCATGCCATGGGAGTTAAATAGCGTCAAACTGATGAGTGATTTCAGCTAACCGTGAAATGCAGGTTCAGAGCCCGGAGTGCTTCACTAATTCCAATAGACCAGATTCAAGATATAAACTGGGTTTGAAGGCAAAGAGCAGAAGTTTATTCAGTCTGGCCAGACAGGATGTCAGCACAGAGTCTGCGCTCAAAAAGAACTGACAAAAGGGTTACAGAGAAGAGCTGAGCATTTTATCCACTTTGACAGCCATTCAAAATACCTGCACCCTCCCTTGATTGGTGGAAAAGCCAGCCCGGCTTTGATCCAGGCTCCTATTGGCTGTTGGAATTCTCCTGATGTTATTGGCTGGAGGAGGTATCCCCCTCCCCCCATGGTGGGAAAAAGGAACAGCTGTGATTGGTAGATTTAAAGTCCAAGTCCATTTAAAGATCTATTCGCATGAGGGCTGTGTGTCCAG